AGCATAAAACAGGCTTCAAGTTTTGTGTATTGGGGGGAGGGAGTGAGGCTTATTCATTCCATGGCCAGAAGGGCTGCTGTGTGGTCAGACTGAATTTTCCTTTGAAAACAGCAGTTGCTGTAAAATCCTTCTGCCCTCATTCCAGGCTTTGCCAAGGCAGTACCTGGGCCTGACCTGACCTTACCTGCAGCAGAAATCAGATGGAAAAATGTGTAGAGTTCTGGTGTCACTTCCTTGCTGTGAGCAGTGATCTTAGGGTGTCGAAATCCCCCTTCTCTCTCGGGACAGGGAGGGGAATAACCACGTACTGACATGCCCCACATTTAACTAATGAGGAGAGATAAAAGGTTGATGTTGATCCCCCCAGAAGAAGTGTTTCTGGTGGCTGAGTTGGTGTGGTTGCAGCACAGGCCAAGGGTGTTGTGGGAGGAGTGTGTGTTTGTGTGGAGTGTGTCCCCCTCCTCCCCACCCTGAGAGCAGCATAACTGGCACTACCAGCTGCTTTTTCATTTGGCTCGAGATAAAAATACACTGAACAGAAGAACATCTTCTCTTGACAGAAATACTCACAGAAGTCAGAATCTTTGGAAATACTCTGCTCTCTCTTAAGCCTTTCGCAGTTAATATTTTTTACAGTCCTTTGTCTTGAATTTGTAGCTTAAACTGCTTTGTGGTTAAATTAGTTACTGAAGGAAAAATGGAAAACAAATTGGTTCATGGCTTGTTGGCTTCTATTTTCCTTCTGTAAAGTGTCTCCAAAGCTGTGTTGGTACTTAGTATATTTTACTAAAATTTGTCTTTATGGAAACTCTTGAATAGAAGAATAAGAAGTCTATTGGTTTTGTATCTTCCAGGGAGATTAAAATGTTGCATTTCAAAAGGTATTCAAACAGAGTTAGTCTCCTCTTTACTATCCAAGTGCCTTGGATCTTTTATATACAACTCATTTTAAAAGTCAGTGAAGAATCAGTGATTCAAACCACATGGAAAAGTTGCAGGCTTTGTTTTAATCCTGTTTAGTTCCAAGTGTGGCTGCACAGATGTGGAAATGCTAACAGGGGAGTGATTGCAGTATCTGGGGCTGGAGAGACACTCATCTCGTAACTATGTGTTTGAGGAGAAAGTCTGGTGATATGATACTGTAAAGATTTAAGGGATATCCTGTTCATCACACATGTATCAACTCCAGATACAAAATGCTGTGGCATCCAGAGGACATCTCCCTGTTTCACAAGGCAGTGGGAGTCCCTTAACCTGCCCTGTCCTTATCTACAGTGTTTGGAAATCACATCACAGGTTCCCAGTGGGACTGTGATCAATCTCACTGACACCTTGGGCCCTGGGAGCTGTTCCTCACCTACCAGAACAGTGTTTGCTGAAGGGAAGAGCCTGTTGCCTGTTCACTAGTTATTCATCTGTCTTTGCTTATGAAAGTGTGACATGATTTAAGACTCTTGCTGGAATTTCCTGGTTTGCTCATTGGTGTTAGGCACAGCAAACTCGATGTGATTAGGGGATCTCAGGCTTACTCAGAATTCCAAGTCTGTCCCTCACAAAGGACTTTACAGGAGAAGCTGCACTGAGATCACTGTGATTTGCTTTTTGGAATTGCAACTCTTTGTGCATAGCAGAGTGACAACATGTACTGGTTTGGTGTAACTTCAGCAGATAAACTTCCCCCCAGTGAAGTTCCTGTGTGGAATGTTGTTCCATTTTAGATGTGGTTGGAAATACTGATACTTTGAATAGGGTCTTTTGGAGTGGAGATTACTCCACTTTCAGCACTTGAGTGCATGATTGACAAGCTGAAATAAACAATGCTGGATTTATGGGCACGAGGTCACTGGAGCCATCTGGGTTAGTCCAGGGAGTTTGGGAAATGATCCGTTACCTCTGAGCATGGTTATTGCCAACCTCTGGCGGTGTCAGCCTTGCTGTTATCTGATGGCAGTGCCTGAGTGTGCCACAGGCCAACAGCATCGAGTTTGAAATCCTCTTATGTACTGAATATTTAAACCAGTGGTTTTCCCATCTGTCTGCAAAAACCTGACATCCAGAACCCACATGGAGTGTCTCCAGAGGTGTGTTTAGTGATGTCACCAGGCTACAGCTTCTCCTCTGGCAACATCAGAGTTAGTGAAACCTGCTGTTGAGGTTTTTGTTGGTGTGGTGAAGATCTGGTCTGAATATAACAGCATTACTCGAGGAACATAAGAAATGGTGGGGGATCAAAGCAAAGACCATTGACAAGGGTTTTATGGGGTGTTGATGCTGCTTTAATTCTCCAAACAGGTTTTGCATGCAGCTGCTCTGGGGGTGTGGTCATGCCTCTCTTTTGTTAACCAGACTTTAAACAACTAGTTCACATTGCTTAGGAAGTTGATGAATCTATTGCTTAACCCTAGCTGAGTCTGTGTCCTGGGAGAAACTGAGGGATGTGTGTTGGCAAAGCCTTTTTGGTGCCAAAGATGGTGTTCTCAGAAATAAAGGAGTAGATAACTTGTAGTCAGCCTTTTCCCCACGCATCATTGTGAATTCTGGGTACCTCAGTGTAACTGGCACTGAGTCAAGTCAATATTGTAATGGTTACTAGAAGCTAAAAAAGCAATTGACTCCTGAAAATGAGTAAGAAAGTGGAAGGCTGAGTCCTTGGGTTGCATGGATGAGTGGCTTCAAACTTTTTCAAAGGATGATGTCACTCTTGGAGCATTGTTTGTCTTCTAAACAGCAAGTGCTTTGAGGAAGAAGCTGAAGCTTGAGAGTCTGCACAAAGTAGAGAGAAAAAAAAGACCCAACAAAACAGAACCCCAAAGCACAACAAATCCCAGCTCTGATTTTATGGAATCCATAGATTATAGATCCATTCTGGTTTGAGTAGAAAGCAACTTTTCCCCTGCCCAAAATTTCTGTTGTATTATCATCCAGGTCTCGCTCACACCACCAACCAATTTTAAGGCTGCAGGTTTGAAGTCTTGCCAGCACTGGACTTGCAAAGAAATCACATTTAAATCTGAACACTGCCATGACCAGACTGTGCTGCTTGGACATGAGCAGAAATTTTCTTTGGGCTGTTCAGCTGTGATCATGGAAAACTGAGGCAGAGAGGTTTTATGTCCTGAAACAGTGACTACTGGAGCCCTGCAGCAAGTCTGTTGCTACTGAAATGCCTGGAGTGAGTGTGGTGCCATATTATCACCTTTGAATTTGCAATCAGTGCCAGATTAAGTAAGCTGATGTCTGGTGGCACTAAAAGAAGTGACCTTGGGCAGTTCTGCAACTGCAGAGTGATATGTTGCAAATGACAAAGTTTACTGGTGGACATGTTAACTCCTGCTGTCCAGTAACGTTGTTAGGCATAAATTTCCCAGAAAGTAATACCTATATAAGTAGTTAGAGCATCAGAATTTAAAATAGAGCACTGATATATGGTCCTGGACTAGAATCTAAAGGCTTAAATTAATTACTCTAGGTTCAGAGCTCAGTAGGGTAAGGGAAGAATTCTGTGTGAGATTTTAGCTACCATAAATAAAACTCTTCAGCAGCTTTCAAAGGGTCACAGTACAAAACTACAGTCTTGTGAAAGCCACCTGGTTTGAGGCAATTGCACAGCTTAACCTGTGGACAATTCTGGAAGGGGCAACTGTGCAACACCTTTTGGTGTTTTTCAGACCAAGGGCTGACTTGTCTCATGCAGGAGAGACATAGCTCTGCTGCTCTGTGTGAAGATTTTAGTGCTGTTCTGAATAGACAGTTTGGTAAGGAAGAAAGAAATTGTGCCTTCTGTTAACTTCTTTCTGCTTTTTCTTTATTAGTGACCATGAAAGGTGTGTGGCTGACAGCACTGCAGACAGAAGCTCAGCTCGTCCACGGAACAGGTGCTGTATACACAACTGCAGTCAGAGAAGGTTTTGTGTGTGAACTTGGTGTGTGTCAGTCCATGGGGGAAGTGAAAGATGTGTGCTGGCTGGAAGTGGGAGGGAAGAAGAAACCCTCCCTGATAAAACTAGGTGTGATGTGAAGCTTGATTCTTTCTGTCACTGGGAATGGCTCAGCAAGTTTTCCTCTGTCATTCTTGTGGATGAAGAAAAACTTGGTTAATTTTGTCACAGGTTAGATGTGATACTTGAATCACTCTGAGGCTGGTACATGGGAAGAAAACATCATAAACCCCTGAAATGGCTTAGATTTGCTCCCACTTAGTTCTGTGGAGCTGACCAGGCATGTTACCTGCATTTAATGCTCTATACAGCTCTCGCACTGCAGAGTTTTTAGTGTATCCTTCACAAGCCAAACATGTGAAAACAAGGTACTGTGCTGCTCAGCCTGTGGTGCAGTGTGTGCAGAGTGGCTGAGGAGCAGCAGCTGTAGTAACCCTAACTGAGTTTCCTAACAGCTGCAGCTTGGCCACATTGCAAATATTAAATCCCAAATCTATGAGTATGCAACAATGCAGAGCCAAGGGCAGCAAATTCCTAACCTGGTCACAGGAGTGGAGAAGGATCTTGAGGTGTCTGTTTTCTCCAGAGTGTGGATCACTGTGCAAAGGGTTTGAAAGGAGAGTTGAGGAATTGCTGTGAGGAAGTGAGCAGGGAGCTCTTGGCATTTAATGAGAGCCTTAGCTCTAGCTGACTGTCCTGGAGAGCAAGGTAAGAAAATGAGGTGTCAGAGTGCTCTGACAGTCTAGATGTGATTGCTGAGGTCTTCTGCAAAACAGATCAGTGTCTTTTTGAAACAGATGCAGAAAGCACTGCTTGGGACTCAGTGGCTTCTGGGAAACTCTTCTCTTACAGCTTTCATTGCAGGTGTGGATACTAACAGTCCTGTCAGTGTTAAATGGGCAATACTGCAGGAAAGAAATAGGGGAGCTGAGACATTTAAGGTGGAAAGGGAAAAAAGAAATTTCATTCATGTGCTCTCTCTTTTCTCCTAGTCTGGTAGAGAGACACCAATGAGGAACTTCCTGAAATTTTAACCTCCACATTCATGTCAGTACGTGCATCATGGCACAGCAAGGAAATGTTGGTGAACTCCTCTCAATGCTGGATTCTCCAGTTCTGGGTGTCCTGGAAGACATAACAGCTGCATTCAAAGATAATCTCATCTGTGGTACGTATCCCTTTACGTAATTCATGGAAAGGTTTTGCTTTTACACCGATAAAGGTAGAATAATGTGGGTTTTTTCTTTCAAACGCTCTCTTTGCAAATGCAGCTTGAAAGAAACTCTTGGTAGTTGGGGTTGAAATTGCTTTAAGGATTGAGACTTCTCTTCCTTTTAGCCTAATGGCATAGCTCCTGCAAGGTCTGTTATGTAATTGGTAAAACACATTAGCAAATGAGTGGCTCTTCCTGAGGCACAGCCTCCAGTGGGAGCTGAGGAATCTTTGTTTATCAAGTGTATCTTGAAAGAATTAGGTGTCACCCACATGATGGAACCAGTGGGATTCTGTTAGTTCAAAAAATAAACAGCAGAAAACCTATCCCCAAACAAAACAACAGGCCCAGACTTTGTGAACAGAGATTGCTGCTGGTAAAGCATCTCTTGTGTTGGCAGAGCCTTTCAGAGCACTGTCAGTGTCCTTGTCCCTGAGCTTGCTCCTCTTTATCTGCTGATGGGAGAGAACATAAAGCCACTCCTGAGCTCTCTCAGCTACTTGTAGATTTGTAAGGTTAGACAGTAATTGTTAGTTATTAAAAAACCTGATTACTTCCCCTGAGCCAAATGCAATTGCTTGAGTGGTTTGGAACCAGGAAATGTAGTCGAGAGGTCTCGTTTTCCCAAAGGTCTGATAAACACCAAGTACTGCTTTGTGTTATAAATTGGGTAATAGTTGTTCAAAAGTTCTGCAATGTCCCTGTAGCAAAGACTTCGTTTTGTGTGTGCTGAGAATGTTTTCCTTGCTGTCCCCAACTGACAGACCGAGGGCCAATGCTTGTCAACAACCTGGTGGACTATTACTTGGAAACCAATTCTCAGCAGGCACTGCATATCCTGTCCACGCTGCAAGAGCCTCATGACAAGGTAAAACAGAATCTTGTTATGGCAGATTCTAGCCTGGTATTGAAACAGCCTTTAAATAGCATCTGTCAGAACTCTGGGCTTCCATTCTGGTGTAGAATTACCTTGTTGCAGAGATGTAGTATCTCTGTAGTAAGAGTAGTTAAGCTTTAAAAAAAAGCTTCAAGGTCTCAGTTTCTTGAGTTGCTTGAGCTGACCCAATTAAGCAAAGAACCTCTCTAAAAGAAAGTTTTGTGAGGATTAATGTTTCTTTGCAGTGCTGCTGCTGCTTGGTGAGTGCTGGATGTGTTGGCCTAGGAGAAATTTGGGGTATTTGGAGAGCAAGGAAGGATTTTCAAATTGGGAATGGCACTACAAACTGGCTGCTGCCCCGATTTTTTTCTTGCTGTTTACTTACAAACATTCTGAAGTGCAGTGACTGCTGGTGGACTGAATAGTTTGCATTTCTCCAGCAGCAGCCTTCAGTTTATTGCTGGGTTTTATTTCCTGCTGGATCCTGTGTACCTGTAAAACACCCATAGTTCCCATCAGTGACAAAGGCAAACTGCTGGATGTGGATTGGTGAAAAAGAATGTAGAGCAATTAAATATAAATACCTTTGCTTTTTCTACCACTCTTTGCAAAATCCTTTCTCAGCATCTACTGGACAAAATTAATGATTACATGGGCAAAGCTGCTACTCGTTTACCCACTCTGTCTCTGCTGGGACACGTGATCAGACGACAACCGTCTTGGAAACATAAACTTTCTCAAGCACCTCTCCTGCTTTCATTACTTAAATGTCTCAAGGTAAGAACTGTCAGTGTTGTCCATAAAACCCTTGCACACCTGATGGAGACAAACATACCTGCAATGCAAGGCATTTGGTTTCTGTTCTGATGTCATTTCGTTAAACCACAGTGGAATTTGTATCAGCTAAACACTCTGTGCTGATGTTATTATTGACAGTCTTGTTTCTAAAAGCCACTGTCACTGTGTATCTGTGAGTTAGGAAAGTCTATTAAAACTTCTCCAAAAGTAAGTTAAAGACAAGAGAGCCCTTGATGAAGCTGATGGATATCTTGAATGTGAACTTAATGAGAAAGACAATAACTTCCCACTGGTCCCTTCTAAATTTTATGCATGTCAGGCATGTACTCTACTTGCAGTGTAAATGGGCCATGCCATAGACTATTCCATGGTGAAATTACCTTGGAATTAGCAGACTTTCCCTTCTTAGCTACCAATGTGCTGGATTACAAGGAGACAGCTGTTTCCTCCATGCTTTGTGGGGTTTCTTTTTTGCCCCATCTGCAAATGTATCAGTTGTAATACTGTACAGTATTGTAACAGTGAGGGAAGAATGGAAAGTGCTTTGAGAGCTGAATGCATTGTCAGCAATGTGATTTCATATGGTGCTGAAGAATTCATGTTAGTCATTTGTGTCACATCTGAATGTATGATGTAGTCAAGTGTCAGAGCTCTTCAAAACAAAACCACAACACATTTGTAACTGCCAAAGGAAAAGCTACAAGTGCTGTTGCTGGAGCTCCTGATGAGTTCTGTTACCCTTCACAGTGTGACTGAGAGAGGAGTGTAGTGTGCCAGAAACTGGGAGGAGTAGAACAGAGATGTGGAAGTGCTGGGGATGTGTACAGAGGGATAGGGATGGACAGGAAATGTGCTGTGATAGGTTATGTGTAACTGAAGGAGAATAGAGGTGTTAGGTACACAGAGGAGGAAAAATCCCTAACACTGAGGATGTCCAGTCAGCCCAAGTGGCTCCTGTGAGAAGCCAAGAGCAGCTCAGTGGCACCTGCCCACACCTTACCCTGTGCTCTGTACGCTGGCAAAGCAGGGGAACTGCCAAAGAAAATGTGGATTACACTGGGGAAGCAAGTAGGGACTGCAGCAGGAAAGAGTTTGAACATTTTCTGTGTCCTGTCCTGAAATTTGATTCTCTATTACTGTTTCATCTAGCCAAAGGTTTTTACTGCCACATCCCTTTCTGGTGGTACAAGCCAAGATGTTTTGGTTACTGCTTGAATTTCTGCTGTATGAATGTCCAGCAGCCACAGTCATCAGCTAGGTTTAATAGAAGAGCTTTTGACTCTCTTGTTGGTTACTGCCCAACACCATTGCACACCCTGATCAGATTTGCAGTTTCTGAGGCTCTGAATGCTGTGTGTTCTTAGCTCTGGGAAGGAGGGAATGAAGGAGGGAAGGCAGCACCTAAGATGCTTCACATAGCAGTGATTTTTTTTTTCTACTCAGTAGTAGAACTGTGGTGGTTTCCTTTTTAACCCAGTCAAGCCTTTAGCCAGAAAAGCAGCAGAGTAAGAGCAAGAATCCCAAGTCTTGTTGTTAGAGTTGTTCTGGGTGTAAAAGCTCAATAATCTTGGATCATTAAGTTCTGGTAGGTTCCAAGGAACTGTTTCATTAGAGACCTTTTTCCATGGTGATGATTCAGCATTCACTTCATCCTTGGAAAAAACTAAGTTCAACACTTTTCACTAATGCAGGTTTTTTCCCTTCTTGCAGACTGACACAGATGTAGTAGTACTCACCACAGGTGTCCTAGTGCTAATAACCATGTTGCCAATGATTCCTCAGTCTGGCAAACAGTACCTTCATGATTTCTTTGGTATCTTTGGGCGTCTCTCAGCCTGGTGCTTGCAGAATCCAGGTGAGATTTCAACTTTGTTGCATGCAGTTATGGTTTGGTAGTATCCTTGTGCCTGGTATGCAATTGGTGAGCACATTCTTTTGTGACTATCTTAATGGTCTGAGATTATTTAAACACAGAAATGATATGTTAAGCCCACAGGCTGCTCTGTTCTTTGATAGCACTGGGGAGTTCTTTGCTCAAGATTTAGAAGTCTCTTAGGTTCTTCCATGTGGTGCTGCTACTCCATGAAGTTTCACTGGAGCAAAATGCAGTGAAAAGCAGAGATTGCTCTTAATGTCTAGAGAAGGGAAAATGCTACCATGTGAGGCAGATATTTGGGAATTTGAGATTCCCAGCTATGAATGGGGAGGGGGAAGAAGCAACATGTAAGACTTTCCTTAATTGTGCAACTATCAGTAGTCACGGAAGTGTTGGTAAAACTGGTCTCAGTGACAGCCTTGGCATTGCTGGATTTGTTGTAAGGTGTCTGATATCTAACACTAGCAAGATCTCTGTGTGTGTCTCATGGCTGAATGAACAAATGCTGTGTTAAGCACATAGAGATGCTATTTGGAGAGGCATTCTGCATTGCAAGTAGCACTGGAACCTTAAGATGGGTAGTAGATTCAAGTCTGTCATGATTGCAGTTTGTGGAGACAAGCTCTTAGTTTTGCTCTTTTTTTTTTGAAGTGAAACGAACCTTAGTTTCCTTTTTTAATCATTCAGTCTTACAAACCCTGGCTCACTATCTAGGGGAGTTTGGGTTGTACCTTGGAATTTTGAGAATCAGAATTAATGGTCCATGTCTTAATTTCTGGGTTTGCTCTGAGCTGATGAGTAAGTGTTGCCTGTTCTCTCAGAAGACTTCACAGTTTCACTAGGGACTATTTGTACCTCCGAAGATTGTTCCAGTTAACATTTCAAATTTAAAAGTACTTTGCATTCTTGGAAGTTTTGGTCTTGTCTCCAGTGTAATGACAAAGATTCTAACTACTTTTTCCAGGTCATGTGGCAGAGATTTACCTTGTCCACCTTCATGCCAGCGTTTATGCTCTCTTTCATCGTCTGTATGGAATGTATCCTTGCAATTTTGTCTCCTTTCTACGTTCTCACTACAGTATGAAGGAAAACTTGGAGACCTTTGAAGAGGTAGTCAAGGTAAAATGCTGCTCATCTGTGTATTACCTGAGACAAGGAATTCAGAGCTATATCAGGGAGGGTATTTGCCAGTTTAGCTGAGGCTGCTCAACAGAACAGAATAAAAAGTAGCCATTTGGCTCAGTGGGGAGCAAGGTGAACTCTTGAAGCTATGATGATGTGTGTTAGCTTTATCTGTTGAGTGCAGCATTCTGAGCTATTGGGATCAGTAGTTTGCTCATCAGCTTTGTGATTTACTGCAGTGCCAAGTTGCTGTACTGATAACACATCTTCTTGCTCTTTGCTCACTCAGCCAATGATGGAACATGTGCGAATTCATCCAGAACTAGTGACTGGATCTAAGGACCATGAACTGGACCCACGAAGGTATATATGTTCTCTCTGCTATTAGGAAGGGCTATAAATGAGCAGCTTGCAGCTGGGTTGTTGCAGAAGGCTTACAGCAGTGTCAGCAGCAGTGTGTGCCAGGGCTGTTTTGCCACCCAGGTGCATAGGTACACCAGGTAAACATGTAGACTTTCTTCATCCCAGCTTACAGCTGGATAAACAAGCAACAAACGTTGTGAAAGGTCATTAACAACGTTGGGATCCTAAATCCATTTTGTGTCTGGGATGGAATCTGTCTCCTAACAATTGACTTTGTCTTATTTTTATGACTTAATGATCAAAGATCCTCATAAAGTTCTAAAACAGTTTGCTTATAGTGAGTAAAGTGAACCTACCAGAGATGCTTCACTGGCTTAAGGTTTGGGTCATGTTCCTTTGGTTTGTTGAAGTACTTGGTGGGATTTCAGTGTTTTAAATGGCTTCAGTGTGTCTTGTTTTGGTACCTAGATATTGATTCAGTTAACAGATCAGTTCTTTTAACAGGTATGTCTTAACATTATCAGCTGTATTAGTTTTCTTTAGCAATAGGCTCATTTGCCTGCAGCAGCACCACTTGCTGCTTTTCTCTTGTCTCCACAGGCCCAGCCACTGAAGAGGAGAATTTGACTCTTGTTGCTGCACAGTAGTGCTCTTGCCCTGCTTTTCAGAGCCACTAGGAAATCACTTCTAACTGGGAACCCATTGAATGTCACAATGCTCAGTTTTGCAGGGGGGAGGGTGGCACCACTCAGGAGCACAATTGGCACAAAACTACCAGTGGAAGCCTTCTGTTTTGGTATCTTGGACATAGAATATCTTACATTTAAAAGCTTCTCAGCCTTTTAATATAAAGCCGTGGGCTTTTTCTTCTTTACAGTGAATTTCCATCCCTTGAAATATTGGGCAGGTCTAATCTGGCTGCTTGAATTAGTGAGAAGTAGTTTTCAGGATGAAGGAGGTAGTAATAATAAAAAACATTCCCCAAGCTTGAGAGGAAAGACACAGATTTGAAACTGGCATTGCAGACAGTGTTTGCTTAAATAGCATGAGATTCCCTCACTGCTGGCATGTCTAAATTTTGACTACCAACATCTGAGTCTAGTTGAGCTGATTTCTACAGCTGCTGAAGCTCAGGATCAACCAAGTCTTCGTATGCTGTTCCTCCTTTCCAGAGTGCTCCATGGCAGACCTTTATGGATCTCTGTGTCAAAGCTGTTTGTCTCCTCTTTGAGAACCCCCTCTTACAAGTCATCTGGTTGCAATTTCTGTCTGGTGCCTTGTTCCAGTTTTGGCTGGGAGCATGCAAAGCTGTCTGGAACAAATGAGCCATCCTAGAAGCCAATTCCTCCTATCTCCAGGATCTCTTGTTTTTAACAATAATTGACTAACTTACTCTTTTGGATCCAAAAACTGTCTGCAGGTGGAAAAGACTAGAAACTCATGATGTTGTGATAGAATGTGCCAAAATCTCCCTGGACCCTGCAGAAGCCTCCTATGAAGATGGTTATTACTCTGTGTCTCGGAAACTCTGCACAAGCTTAAAACATCATCAAACTGACCCCAGTGCCAGCTCTTACTTTGACATACAGAGCAGCTATGGTAAGACCTGCCTGATGGCTAATCAATACCCAATTTGCTGGAGGAAAACTGGCCTTAGAGCAAAAAACATCTCACTAATTTATCCCACTTAAAGTCTGATTCTTGGGCACCAAAAAATACACTGTCATTGTAAAGGAAGAAATAGATAGATGCTTTGGTTGGGAAGACATGTTCACAGAGCTGTCTTTCCACTGCCTCTTTCTCCCCTGTCCTCTCCACCCCAAAGCAACAAACAAACCAAAAACTCAAAGCTGTCATATATTCAGTAGGTATTTTCTTGTGCTGGAAGAAGTGGCTCTTGTTAGCTACCTACAAATATGTATGTTGAATCAATTTGAAATGCTTTGGTTAAAAGCCTTTAAATCCTCGCCAGGAGAATCATGGAGTTGTACTTGATGTGTTGGATACTTTTAAATTTTAATTTTATTTTTTTTTTAAACTTTTAGGGACTTCTACCCCGTATTCCACTCCTCACCTAACACTATCACAAATGCCAGGGCAGCTACCTCAGCTTCTGAGCCCACAGTCCATGAGGCTGTCAACTGAGCCACAGCAGGTAAAGCCCAGGATCAAGCACAACAACCTTTCATGCTTTGCATTGTCATAGTTTCTCTTAAAAATTCACGTTTCTGAGGAATATTCTAAAGTCTTGAGAACTTAGTATATGTTTCAGATTTAATTCTCATAGAATGTTAAGGGAATGGACCTTACAGATCATCTAGTCCTAACCCCCTGGGCAGGGACACCTCCCACTAGACCAGGTTGCTCAAGGCTTTATCCAGCCTGGCTTTGAGCACTGCCAGGGCTGACAGTGTGTCAGAACCTGGATACAAGTTCTTCTCACGTTCCTGCTCTGAGCTGCTCTGATCTGTGTTTGTCCTGTGTTGCTCTGGCACAGGTTACCATCTGGAGCCCTTCTGCAGTGTGTGGTATGACCACACCACCAACCTCCCCTGGAGTTGTCCCATCAGAGTCATCCCAGTCTGCATCACAACCTTACAGCAAAGCTTTTGGCACATCTGGTACGTGCTGGATTTGGGAATTAGGCCTTCAGGGTTTATTTTCATGGATATTCTGGCTGTAAATTTTACTGTCAGCTTCTGAAATGGGAATGCCACACCAGGCCATGTGATAGGCTTGAGTCATGACTCCTGTGAGCTGAGGCCCTCCTCATCTGGAGCAGTGCTGCTGCAAACACCGAGAGGAAATATGTGAACTCGGTGCCAAAGTCTGAAGCAGGTCTTTTGGAAACTGTGCACTTCCATTTTGATAACCACTTAAAAGAGATTTAAGAAGTAAACGGTTGAGTTAGTGTTTAAACATACAACTCTTCACATACAATATTCAGCTGAAAGGAGGAAGTGGGAGGCTGCTGAGAAAACTTGTGCTCCTTTTCAGCAGGGGGGAAAGGAACACCTTTGGGAACACCAGCCACATCTCCTCCTCCACCCTGCACTTCAGATGACTTTGTGCATGTTTCACTCCCTTCAGCTGCTGCCACGCCTCCTAAAAAGGTATTACAAAATTCTTCTGCCAAACTAATCTGGTTTGTTTTCATTGATTTGCCTTACATGCAGTGACCACAACTGAGAAAGAAAAAGATCAGAGTAACTGGTTTATAAAAAATGTTGCATTTCATGGCAAAATCTCCTTTTCTTCTAAGCTCAGACAACTATTGCCACTCCCAGTTGCACAGTTTTCAGACTCCTTGTATTGGTTTGCTGTCTAATGCAGTAATTTGCTTTCTGTGAAACTGTCTGAGAGGTTTGTTTCCAACAGATTTCTGAGACAAAGAATATATTTTGGGTTTGTTTTGTGTTTCAGGAGGACAAACCAGATCCTGGGAGGCCTTTACTGTACCGACAGCAAAATGTCACAAACAGCGATAAATCATTGGGTAAACTCCATTTTCCTCTCCCCATACAATAACCTATTGTAGACAAACCCAATTTTTATTACATGCTCCAAATCCCAAATACTTTTCCACAGGTTTGTTTTTTTTCTCCTCTGAGTTCTCTGTAGTTGCAGGATCCTGCTTTAACCTGTGATTCAACTTATAACCTTCCTGTGATGCTTTTAATTTAATTTGAACTATTCACCTTCAGAAATAACTTACAAATTTTTATTTTTGCCTGGCTCTCAGGCATTCTTGTGCATGTTTGAATACTCAGAGCTACACTGAAGGCTGAAAAAGGATGTTTTTTTAAAAGCTGATTCTCTGAGGATGAGCAAGTTGTATGTGAAGTTTCATTTCAGCAATTTTATGTCACGTATCTGGATCAAACTGTAAGGCTGCACATAAGGATAGATATGATGCTCACTTTTAAAGGCTTTTGGAAAACTTGGTTTCCTATCTACAATTGTTTTGCTATACTTGAGCCTTTTGTAAAGTCCTGGAATATTGCGATCAGCAGTGGATGGTTGAGGAACTCAACTTCTGATAGGTACATCTGGATTCCACTTTCCATTCTGTCACCTACATCTGTGGCAGCTGGAGGAAGGAACTTTGGCACTGTGTTTGAGACTTCTGTATGTGAATCTTTACCACCATCAAAGTGGAGATGGTAGTGGCAAGCTCAGGGGGAGTTCAGTGCTAAGTTGGAAGTGTAATAGTGACACTAGACTTAAACCACCTTTTTAGTTTGTTTAATGGGTTAAATTGCAAACAGCACACCCTTACTCACAGAGGTGTTTGCCTACACTTGTGCAAGAGCAAATGTGAAGTTTGCAGAGTTACACTTTGGGGTCAGGACTGACCTGTGACTGATCCCTGAACTGGTTTCTGTGTGGAAGAGGAGTCAGATAAATTCCTCCTTTGAGGAAGCATCTGCAAGAGGGATGAGCTTATTCTAAGGACCTTGCAGCAGTGAAAGAGACCTGTGTTTTGTGCTGTGATAAGACTGGGGAAAAAAAAAAAGCACCTGTACAACTAACCTTTTGGGGTTGTTCTTTTTCAGACACATCTGGTAGCAAAAGTTCAGTCACCTTAAGTGATCTTCAGGATTTCTTAGGTGGTTTGTCGTTTGAAGATAGCGCCGAGAAGGACAGAGAGGAAGGTAATGTCTGTCACCCTTCCCCACAGCTCAGCTAAGGAAGTGGTTGTGCTGTTGAAATCCAAGAGAGATAATGATGTTCCCCCACTCCTCCTCAGATGCAATATCAAAAGAGATCTCCGAGATCACGACCGATGCTGAGCACATGGTGCCTCGAGGAGGATTCGACTCTCCGTTTTACCGCACAAATGAAAACCTCTCGGGCTCTCAGAAGAAAACCCATTCAGCAGTCTCCAGTGTTCAGGGACACAGTCAGACTTCTGAGCCTTTAACACCTCTGGACAAGCCTGGGCCTGAGAGTGCACGGGAAACACCCAAACAGACGTTTACTCCCATAGACAAGCCCTGTGAAGGCTCTGGGGAAAGCCCTGCTGGGAACAGGGAAGGAACCTCTGGGGAGACAAGTATTCTCACTCCCAGCCCTTGCAAAGTACCAGCACAAAGAAGAGTGGTGTTTGGGAGCGGGCAGCCTCCCCTCTATGACCACCTTTTTGAGGTTGCATTACCAAAGACTGCCTACCTCTTTGTTGGCAAGAAGACTGAGGAGCTGCTAAAGAAAGCCAAGGGATCCCAGGATGATGACTGTATGTCCTCAACTTCCCCCGTGGAAGTACTGGACAGACTGATTCAGCAAGGAGCAGATGCACACACTAAGGAGCTGAACAAGTAGGTGACTGAAAATCTTACTTGGCAAACTTAGCCCTTAGTTTTAATAGCTGTGCCTGAAAAGCAGCTGTGTCTGGAAATCTGCAGTGAAAGCATGTTCTGGGAAGCACAGCTGTTACCTGAGCTGGGGCTTCTGGGGAAGGATTTCTGTATCTGCAGTGGTAGTGTGTTTGGGACAAAAAAAGGCTGTGAGCCTGTTTTTTAACACTGAGCTCTTGCTGCCTTCCCTGACAGACCTGGGGTGAAGAAGCAGAGCTGTTAGCTGTGCCCCAGCTGTGAGTTGGGTACCACTGATAGTGAGATTTGTTTAGTTTATCAAGTTTAAGTCCTGGAGTAGATACTCAAAAGCAAATGTAGAGGCTGTGGGGAGATGGACACTTTCTTCTTTCTGCTATACATGAGGCTAAGAACTGGAGAACAAGATTGAATATTTAGGTGTATCTGCTCTATTTCTTATTACCTTGCATCCCACTTTGGCCTTTTGGTGTTTTCTATGCTGGAGAAAATTTTTCTCCAGCTTCTAAGAAATGATTCCCTGCATCCTCTGCCCTTTGGAGCCTGCTAATTCCATTCCTCCTTCCTTTTACACCAACTGACCATAGTTGGACTTTAGGCTCTAAGCTCTCTTGAGGTGGATATTCCATTTTAGAGTGACTTGCAGAGTGTTTTTGTATTTCAGCTTACCTCTTAATGCTGCATTCTTGTTTTTCAGATTGTCTCTGCCAAGCAAATCTGCTGACTGGACTCACTTTGGAGGTGAGGAAATTTCTCCTATTTTGGCAGCATGTTCCTCTGTTATTAGGCTTGCTTAAACAATGCCCTGTGTCCTTCTAGTTTGTGGTTTTTTAACTAATGCTGCAGCAAGACACTGCCCTCCATGAAGTCCTGGTTTAGGTGCTTGGGAGAGAACCTGTGTTCCAGTGAAATGTGCTGCTTTTTCATCTTAGAAAAGTGCAAACTGCCTTCCCCACACTTCTAGACACTTCTGCTTTTGACCATTTCAGCCCTGCTAGGCTTCAGGGTGCTGCTGATCCTCCAACAGATCCTTCCAACTTCTCAGGACTAGTTCAGTCTAAAACTGATGATTCTTGGTGCTTCGCTTGTGTCTGTGCCACAGTTTTGTGCTCTTAGGCTTCAGTGGTGATGCTGAGCTTGGCTTTTTTCCTTAATCCAAGGAGCAATCCATGTGAAGCACACATTGCTTTGGGAAAAACGATTGCAACTTTGTGTTGGAGGTCAAGTAGAGACAGGATCAAACACAGACAGGATTGAAAGCTGTAATTCCACATCGATCTTAATTTGCTTACTTTAGAAAATACCTCCCGTGTGTAAAACAGGGACAGTGCAGCTCAGGACCCTCTTGTGTCTCCCACTGCAGGTTCTCCCCCCTCAGATGAGATTCACACCCTGCGTAACCAGCTGCTCCTGCTGCACAACCAACTGCTGTACGAACGGTTCAAGAGGCAGCAGCACGCCCTGAGGAACCGCAGGCTCCTGCGCAAGGTCATCAAGGCCACGGCTCTGGAGGAGCACAACGCTGCCATGGTGAGCAGGATCCAGCTCAGGCAGGGATGCAAACACTGATGCCACAGCAGGTGTTAATTGGTTTGGCTTCAGCTAACAAAGAAGCCTCGTTTCTCACCTTGTTAAAGTCAGTGTGTATGGGATGAGTCCTGCACTGGTGTTATCAAAGGCAGTAGTTTCTGTTTGACTTCAGGCTGCCTGCATGCTGGAATCAGAGAATGGAATCATAGCATCAATTGGGTTGGAAAAGACCTCCAAGGTCATCAAGTCCAACCCTACTGTGGTCACTAGACCATGGCACTAAGTGCCACATCCAGTCTCAGCTTGAAAACCTACAAGGATGGTGAGTCCACCACCTCCCTGGGCAGCACATTCCAATGCCTGATCACTCTCTCTGTAAAAAATCTCTTCCTAATATCCAACCTAACCCTCCCCTGGCAGAGCTTGAGTCTGTGCCCTCTTGTCCTGCTGCTGGTTGCCTGGGAGAAGAGACCAACCCCCACCTGACTCCAACCTCCTGTCAGGGAGTTGCAGAGGGGGATAAGGTCTCCCCTGAGCCTCCTCTGCTCCAGGCTGAACACCCCCAGCTCCCTCAGCCTCTCCTCATGGCACTTGTGCTCCAGTCCCTTCACCAGCCTCGTTGCTCTGCTCTGGACAAAGTGCTACCCCTTTGGGTAATGTTAAAGGCTTCCCTGTTAGTGGAGTGGTTGCCCAATGCCTAGCTAGACACTTTAGTAGATGTTTGGAGTACTGTCCTTTGACTCCTCAGTTGAGGAGTAATAGCAAAAACTATGGAAACTCAGTGTCCTTTTCCAGAAGTGTTCCTTGTGATAGAATTTGAAGTTACAAGTGCATTGAGGGATGTCTCATTACAGACTTAGGCCTGTTTCATTCTGTATATTCCTACTATAGCTAATGTCATCAACAGTTTCATCTTCTGATAATTCTAATAGTTCTGTTAATTGTAATACAAGAGCCAAAAATAGACTTTCAAATAGGTTTTGGAAGAGGAACTGTTGATTCAGCTGTGAAACCCAAATCTCTGCTAGATGTGTGAGGGGCAGTGGAAAAATATGTGACTGTGAGTTCTCAGGCTATCCAATATTGTCAGCATTTCATCTCATTTTCAGCCAGAACCAAACCAAACCCTCAAAGCCTTAAGAACATGTCCTATATAAAATGTTCTATCTATGGGGGAGTGTTTGCCTGTTGATAATTAACAGCTTTGCTTGGCTTGGGATAATCAGGTGTCTTGTCTGATGCTTCATGTGGGATTCTTAACAGAAAGATCAGCTGAAACTACAGGAAAAGGAAATCCAGGCCTTGAAACTGAGTCTGCAGAAGGAGCAGGCAAGGTACCACCAGTTTCAGGAGGAGCATGAAAATATAGTGGCTCAGCTTCACAGCCAGATCAGACAGCTGCAGCACGACCGTGAGGAATTCTACAACCAGAGCCAGGAATTGCAGGTATGAAGCATGAACAAAGTTGTTGTCTACTTACTGGATTTAAAAATAACCTTCTTCATAACAAGGCATGAAATACCTGAGAGAAAGCTGCACATTTCTGTTAGAGATACTGTCCTAATTTGGAATAAGACAGGGCAGAATTGGAAGTACTTAACTCAGTCATTGTCCTTTGATAGTTCTGTTTCATGCTGTCTTCAGTTTGGAAATGGGAAACAGAATTTCTTAGCTGGTTTTGGGGCTTACAGCCTTCCAGCTCTGTGCCCTTGCTGTCCTTAGTGAGGTTTCCAAACCCTGAGTCCTTTTCCTTGTCCCTTGAACAGACCAAGCTGGAAGACTGCAGGAATATGATAGCAGATCTGAGGTTAGAGTTAAAGAAGGCCAACAACAAGGTGTGTCACACTGAACTGCTGCTTAGCCAAGTTTCTCAAAAGGTAAGAAAAGTCAGTGTTCCCAGGGTCCCTTTGTGCCTCTCTGTTTATTTTTACCTGGTAATTTTCATCAGGTGCTTTTTTTTTTCTTGCTCTGAGAGAAGCCTTTGCTTCTGTGGAGTCTGATATTAATTGCATGAAAACAACACAGAGAAATGTAAAGAAATTTTAAACTCAGTTCAAGGCCTTCTCAAACTTCTCATTTTGGCTGCTCTTTCCACACTAGTAATTTGCAGATTGAACAATATGAGTTTGTGTTAAAGCTCTGCTAAATCTTGACACCTTGGGGATCTTGTTTATGTCGGAAGTTGAATAGAAATGAAAACTTACTTATGAAAACTGATTTATTTAACACTCCCTATGATGCATTGGATTCTAGTCTGTCTCCCTTCTTTCTAAAACCACCTGTGACCACAGTTGCCTGTGAGCTGTGACTCTCCTGCTGAGCCATTTCATCCCCAGGTTTGATTCTGTTCCATTTCTCTTTGCAGCTTTCCAACAGTGAATCAGTGCAACAGCAGATGGAGTTCTTGAACAGGCAACTGCTGGTTCTTGGGGAGGTCAATGAGTTGTACCTGGAGCAGCTGCAGCACAAGCACACAGACACTACAAAGGTACAACTGCAGAGCTGCAGAGGAGGAGTTCTGGGGAGATGTCACTGAGGTCATCATCCAGCAGTTCAGCCTTGTGTTCAGAAGGAAATGCCTCATAACTTCTCAGATACTTTGGTTTGAAATTGAGTTTCAGGGATTTGATTTTTCTATTTGATCTTCTGTTCAGATGTTTTTGTGCACTCTAGGTTTAAGGGGTCTCTTCAGAGTCCCTTCTGAAAGCTAAGGAAGGGATGTTAAGGTACACCTGGAGTCAGTTTTAGTCACTTGATGTAAATTCTTGGCAATTTTTTTTCCAAAGGCCAAGGCTTTGCTGTGCTCATAATGTCATTGACAGCAGATTGTTGGTAAAGTAACACAGGGCAGAAGTGCTGAATCTGTAGAAAGATCTTTTGGAGAGACAGGGAGCTGAACATGAGCCAGCAGTGTGCTCAGGGGGCCAAGAAGGCCAATGAGATCCTGGCCTGGATCAGGAACAGTGTGGTCAGCAGGACCAGGGAGGTGATTCTGCCCCTGCACTCGGTGCTGGTGAGGCCACACCTTGAATCCTGTGCTCAGTTCTGGGCCCCTCAGTTCAGGAGGGACACCATCCCTGGAGGTTTTCAAGATGAGACTGGATGTGGCACTTAGTGCCATGGTTTAGTAACCAGGGTTGGGTTGGACTTGATGATCTTGGAGGTCTTTTCCAACCTGGTTGATCCTATTATTCTATGAACTGAACCAGGATTTTATGGCATTTCATGAGATGTTGCTTTAAACAAGCATCTTACTCTTCTCACTCAGTCATTTTCCTTTTAAGAGTTAGTAGTAACTTTCCTAAAACTTCTGTGGTTCATATGGTTTTATTTCCTGACTTCAAAGAAACCTTTTTTTAATTAGAAACAAGTAAAAGACACAACAACATAACTGTTTCTGCGTGAGAACGAGTGATTAAAGAAGGTGAATAATACACTGGGAAAAAAAAGTCTCTTACTGGTATTTAATGAAGGTCATGTTGCAAAAATGGAGTTTGTGAGTTCTAATCCAGTGCAGAACTGGCAAGTTTGCTTTGATGAAAAGAAGTTTTCATAAGGAACATTAATGTGCTAATAAATTCCAGTGATGTTCAGTTATTTTCAGTGACTTAATCGTGTGCAACCTCAGCTTAGCCAGTTTGCTGTTTTTAGAAGTGCTGTTTTTATTCTCTCTCCCTTTAAAATGTGCCTATTTATAGCATCAGAAACATGTCTAAAGATTAGTAAAAATAACACAGAGTCAACTGATGCTTTAACTTTGTGCTGTTTCCCTGGAGGAGGTTGAAATGTTGCACTCTGCTTTTCGGAAAGAACTGGAGAAAGCCAAGTTGTGTGTCCAGCAGCAGAGCCAAAGGCTTGATGCTTCCCAGAAAAGGATAGCTGAACTGGAATCTCAGCTTGCAAAGAAGGACCACCTTTTCTTGGAACAAAAGAAATACCTGGAAGATGTCAAAATCCAAGCAAGGTAGGGGATTCCTATGTACATTTTAGCTCTACTTTGATATTAGCATCGTCACGGTTGAGGCAGAATCTGGAAACATTGGGCATTGTGGTTTCTCTTCTTGCAGAGGTCAGCTGCAGGCAGTGGAGAGTAGGTACAGGGCCCAGAAAAAAATCACACAGGCATTTGAGCTGGAGATCTTGGACCTGGTTGGGCGACTGGAGAAGAGCAGCCTACTGAAAAAACTTGAAGATGATAAGACAGAGGCAGCTGAAGCAGCAGAAGAAAGGTAAGTGTGAGGATGTAGAATGTGCAGGACTCGTGTCCTGCTCCTTGTAAGCTGGTATTCTTGTGGAACTCCTAGGAGTTGGGTACATCATCTCAAAATAGTTCTGTTACTCCACCTGTTACAGACTGGATCTGTTTCAGGACTCTGCCCAGGTTGCAGGGAGGCCTTGACAACATTGGAAATGCTCATGAAATGCTTCTCAGGTACCTGAGCTGTTACTCAGAGAAAACTCTGGGTTTCCTCATAGACTGACAGGTCACTTTAATCTGCAAACTGTTATGTTCTTGTTAAGTGGTTGTTTTACATCTGTCTACCTGAAACATGTGGGTAGAGCTCTACTTCCCCTCAGATTGTGCCTTTTTTCCTACACCAAATTCTGCTGCAGCACCAGGACAACTCCTTGCACTGCCAGCTGGTTTGTGGCAATCACCTGTGCATGGGTTAGGTAAAACATCTCCAGTCTAAGAAAGATGTACAGATCTCTTCCTCTACTTTAACAGATCAGGATCCAGTTCCATTTTGCTGTAGGATTGGTGTCAGCTTTGGACTTTAAACACTGGATATTGCAAAGCTGAGAGTCTGACACTTCTGGTTCCCGTCTGTCACTCTTCTTTGCCACAGAACTAGGGAAGGAAACCTGTTGGAGTGCATATGCAGTAGCAGAAATGGAAAGCAGTCCAAGGAACCTGCCCTGGCCAGTGTTCCCCTGTCCATTGTTCAGTTGCTGTGATTTCCATTGCTGTATCCCCTCTCTTTCCCAAACAGGCTGGATTGTGGCAATGAAGACACAGTGGCAGGATACAGCGAAGAAACAATGGGTAGAAATGGAGAGACCAAACCTCCCAGCACTCGAGGGAGCAGTAGCAGTAAGGGTGGCAGCAACAGTGAGCTCTCCACCCCAGAAAAGCCCCAGAGCCAGAGATTGAGCAGTCGCTGGGAGACATCCATGCTGCTGGAGCCCTCCACTACTGTCCCACTGACTGTAGGTTCCCTCCCCAGCTCCAAGAGCTTCCTTGGAATGAAGGCACGAGAGTTGTTTCGCAACAAGAGTGAGAGCCAGTGTGACGAGGAGGGGGTAACCATCAACAGGCTGCCTGATGCTCTAAAGACTGAACTTTGTAAAGACCCAAGCATGGAGTCAAAGGCCTCTCCAAGCCCTGAGAGCCTTAGCCTCTCACCTAAGCTCCAGGAAAGCAGTGTTGGACACCTTCATATCATGGACTACAATGAAACTCATCATGACCACAGTTAAAGAGGAAGATAGTCAATCAGTGTTATTTTCATATTCTTGGCATAGAACAGGAGGTGTGAATGCAAGTTTAACTAAAAGCTTTTCTGTTTCTTTGGTCTGAGCAGCTCATGCAGCGCAGCAGGATCGAGGCCAGGAACAGGAGGAGGCTGCTGAATGGATGCAGAGTGGATTTTGGGGTCTGGAATGGAAATGCCCAGCCTAACTCTTGCTTCTTTCTCCAGTTCAGTCCTTAGCAGCGTGTACTAATTTGAAGGGACAACCGTTAGCATTTGCAAGTATTTTTCCCTTTCTCCCTGTCCCCCACTTGAGTGGCTGCATTTATGAACTTGAGTGCAATATGAGGCCAAATTAACATTTGTGAGTCTACTCTGAATGCTTTGTATTTCCTTGCAAGCTTCCAATCTAGAGCAGTTGGTCGTGCTGCCTGTCCAGGTGACTTCAGTTCCTTTCATCCTGGAAAGAAGCAGCACTAGAATTTTCCAGTGCATTCATCTAAGGGTCTCTGTTTTGCCTGTCCACTGTCCCACATCCCTCAGAGCTCAGTCTTCACTGAGTTGGAGTCTGATGGAATACCCAGATGTTTAAAGAACACTGTACCTCTGCAAAGTGATTCATTCACCCTAATTCCTGATCATTGTTTATATTGTCCTTAACATTTCCTGGAAAGTTGCATTTGAACAGACAATAAGGAACTGGAGCTTGTAATGCAGAAGACTTGTTAAAACACTAGCTCTGAGCTTTTTGGTATTTTAAGTGTTTGCCTGACAGACTGTTACTGACCTCAGACTGGTTCATGTGGGAAAGCAGTTGGGGTGGGAGAAGAGGGAAGAGGAAGCTTTACTCAAGTAGGGAGAGCATGCAGAACATGGATGTAGAGTTCCAAGCTTACGAAGATCTGCAGAGGAGGATTTGTTTCTCTAATCAGGGAAACGTGCTGCCTCACCCTCCTTCATAGTTCTGCTCTTTGGGCCTGGTCTGAGCAAGACCACCATGTTTTGAGTCCAAGAAATTGGCTTCATTCTTCCTGGGAATGCGTTTTCAGGCTTGACTTAGAGAATATGGTTTCCTTTGAGTGCTCTTCTGCTGAGGCTGCAGCACATTTTTCAGCTCAGCAATGTCAGTTTGGCTCTAGGTCTCTCCCCTTCGCCCTCATCCTGCTTTCTTAGCAGGCAAGGCTGAGGAGGAAACCTGCTCAAACTGGGAGTGAGGATCCTGGAGCGAAGCCTTTTGGTGTGAATCATGTTTTAAGTCCATGATGAGCCTTCTGGGAAGGAGGATTGTGGGATCAGGGCTTGGCAGTGGTCAGACTCAATCTCCTTCATGGCAGAGCAGAGCCTGCTGGCAGGAAGGCAGTGCTGGTTTTAAAGGTTAGTGTGTCTGGGTGCAGGTGGGCTCAGGCACATCAGGCTTCACACTTCCCTGCATCACACGTGGCCTCTTCTCTAACCATTCTGTGGGTGGCAGCTGCTGTTTGAGAATTGCCTCACATAGAAATCAAGTCCAAGTTCACTTGCACTTGTAGTTCAAATCCCTTCTTAACCTGGTTAGGAACAAGACTGTCAAAGCAACTGGCACTATGCTCACTTGCTCCTGACAGGACTTTCCTGCCCTTCCCACTTCACACAGGGTCTGAATACATTTCTGCTGTCTGAACGATTCTCTTGTGTCCTTTCGCTCGGTCAGTCCAAACTCGGAGAGTCAAGGTGAACTTCAGTGGTTGTGTCAAAGCTTGACTGCATGGAATAGAGACTTAGAGAGTTGGTTGTAAGTGACAGACTGGTTTTGTCGACATGTCTTTTAGGCTTTCTAAGACTTAGTGGTAGCAAACGTGGTAGAGTGTGTTTCGGTGAGGTTTGGAGGTTTCCTGCCCCTTTCCCCCCTGGATCTCAGCCCCAGGAGTGAACAGTTTGCACATAGCCCTGAGGGCTCAGCTCAGCCAGGGATGGTGGAGGAGCTCATTCCCCATGTCCTGCTGTGCTGAGCCTGGAGGTGCCCCCAGCGTTCCGAGGAGAGGTGGGTGGTGTTGGTTACACGAATTCCCTGGCAGTAACCCAAGCTCATGGATAAAGTGGCTTTTTTTTCCTTCTTTTAAACAGGATTTTAGCACCAGGATAGTAATGGAAACCACTTTAGGTTTGTTTATGGACCATAAAGATTATGGAGGAACAAATTTTGCCTTTACTATCTTTTTTTTTTTTTTTGTAAGTCTAAAAATCATGGATCTGCTGTATGTAGTTAACTTGCAGTTCGTTTGAGGGATCTCATCAGTGAAGTGGAAACAGATTTTTTTAACTGACTGCTTTTAGTTCAATCTAAAATCGCTGTCTTTGTCAAGGTAATCTGTTCCCTGCCTCGCTCTTCGTCAGCATGTTAAACAATCCACAGTAAATGCCATAAATATGAAATACAAGGAAATGGTACAATCGTAAGCTAAAGAGAACTTAAACCAAAAGGAGGTTTTTGCTGTCCTTATTAGAATGTTCTAAAATGTCAAGGCAGTTGCTTGTGTTTAACTGTGAACAAATAAAATGTATTGTTTTGCACTACTCTGTGTTAAATTCCCTGCAAGATTAACCTCGTTGGGACCAAAACAGGCAGGAAGGAGTTCAGTGACAAAACACCTTCCAGGATGGGACAGCCCAGAGCAGGTCAGTGCTGCTGCCCCTTTGCCCAGGATCTGTTGTTAGATGCTCATTTTCTGCATGGTGCCAAAGCCTTTTCTCTTCTGTGAGGATTGAACTCATCACCACCGTGTCAGTATAATCCATGAATGAACTGCGAACAGCTCAGTGCTGCAGATCTGGGTGAGCTGTGTGCATGGCATTGCTCATGCAGGCCAGAGACTGCACAGTGATTAGAGCAATTAGTAGCTGAAAAGGTCAGAGCCTTGTTTGCAGAGCTGGGGATGCTGTTGGAAACTGGCTCCGGCCCTGGCTGTGCTGCTCCAGGGCCACAGTGCACACAGGACAGATCCTCACACCAAGGGCAATTTTGGGACCATTTTGCTCTAAACTAGTAGGTTGAGGTTGTTCTCTAGTTTTGCTTTTTGATTTTTTTCCCAGACTGGGAACCAGTTTCTCACTGGTTTTGCTTTTTTTGTGTGTGGTTTGATTGGTGTTTTTTCTTGAAATAAATGAATATTCTGGGCCCTTCAGGAGGGATATTGAGGTGCTGGAGCAGGTCCAGAGAAGAGCAACAAGGCTGGTGAAGGGACTGGAGCACAAGTGCCATGAGGAGAGGCTGAGGGAGCTGAGGGTGTTCAGCCTGGAGAAGAGGAGGCTCAGGGGAGACCTTATCACCCTCTGCAACTCCCTGACAGGAGGTTGGAGTCAGGTGGGGGTTGGTCTCTGCTCCCAGGCAACCAGCAGCAGGACAAGAGGGCACAGACTCGAGCTCTGCCAGGGGAGGGTTAGGTTGGATATTAGGAAGAGATTTTTTTATGGAGAGAGTGATCAGGCATTGGAATGTGCTGCCCAGGGAGGTGGTGGATTCACCATCCCTGGAGGTTTTCAAGCTGAGACTGGATGTGGCACTTTTTGCTATGGCCTAGTAACCACAGTAGGGTTGGACTTGATGACCTTGGAGGTCTTTTCCAACCCTGTTGATTCAGTGATTCTAATATTAGAAATGTTGCTCAAGGCAATTTAGAAATCCATACATGAACCTCAGCATTGCAGGTAAGAACTGAGTGTAAGTCTTGTATCTGAGCAGCACTTCAGGGGTTGGTGTGAGTGACACACTCTGTTAGTGAACACACTTTGGCCAAGGAACTGTTTATGTAGGGAACTTCATACAGAAGTTACCACAAACATTATCTTGGGGTTCAGTGATACGAAAAGGTGTTTTGGGCCTTCTGCATTGGGTTGAGTCCTACAGTGTGTGGTGAGTGACACGAAAACAAAGCACAAAGTGAATTTGACTTGTTCTTGCCTTGTTTTGAATCCATTTTGCATATCTCTTAAGTTTGGCATTGCAAAGCTGCATTTGGCAGTGTGAAATTAGAGATACAGTTCCCACAGAAGTGTATTTCTCTGGAGTATAAAAGGAAGCAAATTAAGTACTTATGCCAAGTGGTCTGTTCAGTAGTTTATAACAAAGCTAATAAACATGCAATAGACATTAGGGAAGGAAATGCTTTACATCCAGGAAATTATATTTGCTGATTGATCCTGATTTATTGGTACTACTTAGCTGCTGGTGCAATGGTGAATTTGAAAAGTGGTTACAAAATGGTTTAGGAAATCACAGGAGTTGCAGTTACTTCATTCATTCATCCACAGGAGCTTTGCACATGTCCCTTGGTTAGCACTCACAGGGGCTTTGCTTTTCAGGCCAGGCTTTATTCCAAGTGATTCTGACTGATGCTTTTCATGGCTTTGGTGTCTGAGAGCTTTACCTTTTTTTCCCTGAAGGCCTTTTCGCTCCAGTTTTTGGACTTGCTGATCTTTAATGCCTGCCAAACACTATTCCTGGTTTCTCCGGAGCTGTCTGCTCAGCTGACTAACAGCTCAAACCGGTGCTGCACCGAGGGAATTCAGAACTCCCAGGAAAACAGCAGTGTTTACAGCTGGGGGAGCTGACGGGTCAGGGTGGTGGTGACAGGGCACAGCCCATCTCTCTTCTGAAATTACAGCTCCTGTGGCCGCAGCAGAGCGGGGTCAGTTACTGCAGGGCTGTGTCCCTGGGGCCGAGTGGCTGTAACCAGTGTCACACAGCCCCTGTGGATTCGGGACTGGGGGACGACAACAGGATTGCTGGAGCGGTGAAAGCTGCAGTTGGGAGCCTTGGCACACTGCTGAGCAGCAGCCGCTAGAGGCCCTGCCGAGCCCATCGCTTCCCTCCCTCGGCTGCCCTGACATCCCTGGGATGCTGAGTTCCCTCTCTCCCCTGAATCGCCCTTTCTCGTTCCCAGCTTTCCTGACGCTTGAGCTTAACTTCTTGGGGTCTGAGTTATACCTCACCCTCTGTCTGTGTGTGTGAGCCTGATATTTGATGCACATAACATTTTGTCATGGAATCACAGAATGGTTTGGGCTGGAAGGGACCTTAAAGGTTATCTACTCCAACCCCCTGCAGTGAGCAGGGACATCTTCCACTCCACCAGGCTGCTCAGGGTGACAAAAACCTGGTTTGACCCTTCGCTGAATCAAGGGGAGCAGAGAGGCAATTCATAGCCCACAGATGCCAGGATTCTGCTGAGATCATCTCCTTGTATCTCTATTTCAGTCTTTGAACAAAAAAGCAGCATTTATTTCCTGGGCTAACTGACAGATCTGTAGGAAAGTCAGACTGGTGCCCTGCCTGGTTTCTCTGTGTGTATCTTGCAATTTTATGCTCACAGAGGCTAAAGTAAAACTTTATTGCACTTTTGTGTTTGGCATTTACATCCTGTTTATGTAAATTCTTCAAACAGCTTGATTTGTAGTAGGGAAAAACAATTCTTGCTGTATCTTTTTGTCTTTTGAAGTGTCCATCCACTCTGGAAGAGGAGAACTTGTATGGAAATTAAGTAATTTGTCTAGATGTTTTTGTGAGACTTAACTTTGCAGTTTTCCAACAGATTCTGGTCTTGTCATTATCAAACCTCAGACTGCAAGTTTTATGCACTCATTTTTCTGCTTGGGTCTTAAAATTTTGGTTATGTGACACATTGAAAGGATAGGGCTAGGCTGGAGATTGTTACTAAGGTTTGGGAGCTGTTCCTTGTGTGTATCACAGCCTAAGTCAAGCATAGGACAACTGCACAGGAGTGTTGAGCAGGTGGTGGTGGCCCGGGTTTGGTAGGACTGTCGTGACAAACCATTTGTGCTGTGCTCTTCTGTGGAAGCTGAAAGTGAACCACGAAGTAGAGGATAAATTTGGTCTCCTCAGAGCCTGTGTGTTCAAATTTAAACCATAGGACAGGGCAGGAAAGGTTGGAAATAAGATCTGTGAAGAGCATCTCTTGTGTCCCCAACACTTGTCATCATTCAGGCCACGGAGCCTGTTCTGAAAAACTTTCCAAGGCAGCAACTGTCATCTGACACTTGTCTGCAACATGAAGCACAAAAGGGCAGCTGCCAGGGACTCTGATTTTTCAGCCTCTGCACCAGAGCTCTCGAGTGAAGCCAGACAGGGTGACGGTGACATTCCACCGACTGTGGCCCCAGTAGTGCCCAAGAGTGTCTGTGTGACCCTTCATTACCATTTTGAGTTCACCAAGATTCAGTTGGATCATGTCTCCCTAAAAATAGGCTTCTGCTCCAGAGTGCAAGGGTACATTGCAGTACAAGGGGATAGGGGAAGGGGGAAAAAGTGCAAAAGAAGGTTATGTGAGGAATAAAAATGCTCCTGAAAATATTTTCCATTTCATCCTTCCTATCCTCCTTTCTCTTTATGAATTCTCCCCTCATTTTTGGCTACTTTTTGCCAAAAACTGGTTAATTCAGGTAAAGGCTTTGCCACAATTTTAACTGAGCTAGGTATGCATGGGGGAATCATTTATTCAGGAATGTCTTCCAACAGGGAGCAAAGAACAGGAGCTAATTTGCCTGTAGGAGGGAGAAAGGGCAGTCAGACACAAGGAAGACACTGTTACTGACATCTTCTGTTTGTACTCAGCAGTTCTTGATTAAAAGCACCCCAAAAAAATAGGAATCAGCTCCAGAGAATGGGGAGAGCCTGTGGCTCTGCTGACCCTCCCTGAGCAGGCTGGAATTAAAGCTGCTTCCAGCACTGGGATAAAGTCACAGTGCTGGAGTTGCAAAGTGCTGATTCAGGCAGTAGGACTATTTCAAATGCCTTGTAGTTCTTATGATCTGAGCTCCTAACATCCCTGAGATCTAGGCAGGCTGGATTCTCACCTTGAGAAAGGGACAGCACAGACATTTTGACTTGCAATGTGAAAAGGAACCTCTGAGCATGGCCACAGCTCCCACCCTCTCTGCTCCCTCCGGATTCCCATGAATCACATTGACTGGAAGTGACTTTGTTCATTTTGCAGAGGTCTGGGGAGCACAGAGGTGTTTTGTTCAAGTTTGGATAGTCAGTACACACAAACCAAGTGCAAAATGGACTCTGTCCTCCTTTCCATCTCTAGCTCTGACAGCAAAGGAGTCAAACAGGTGTGAGGGGAGATGTTCTGCGGTGTGAGAACCTGCAGGAAGGGAGCAGCAGAGCACAGCTGATGCACACTGACCTCTGTAGCTGGTGACATGTACAGCAGCACTAGTGTCCTGTAAACATGGATTCGGAGGTCTAGACAACTAAGCAGTTTCAGTGGAGGTGAGTGGAATTTAAGGGACAAGCCTAAATCTGAAAGACATGTCTGAATCCAGTGACAGCTCTTTGCTGCTCTGCATCACGCCTTTCAGCCAGGCAGGTTCCTCACCCCTCCAGCTGTGGTGAGCGAGGGATGTCCCTCAGAAAGGAGCCTGACAAAGTCGAAAATCCCATTTCAAGTAGCTTGGCCAAGATTCATGCCTGAGAAATTAGAACCTGATGACTCCTGAGTATTCCCTGCTCCCAGTGCAGTGCTGTTCCCCGGGATGAGCTGTAGCTACAGCTACTTGTGTCAGGATATGACTTTAAGGAGGAGAGTAGAAATATTAGCAAGTGTGTCTGTCCCAGAATGGCTTGCAACTCCTCAGAAAGTGAACTCAGGACAGATCTCTTGTGTTCACGTCATTGTCTTTAATCAGCCTCCTGATTAGAGATGGTAAGCAGAAGGTGATTTGATGCTTTAAAAGGGGTGTCTGCCCGGAGGCTTCCAGGGAGCTTCATGTTTCTGACGTCGACTCTCGTACAGGTAGTTCTGGAAATCATCGTTTTCCTGCAACTGCACAGTATCTTTGTTACTAACTGAGGTCTGAGCTGCAAGGTGCACAGGGGGTGCTGTTTGGGAAATGGGTGTCTCCTTCTTGGACATGGCCATGCCAGGACTCACATAATGCATCAGGTTCTTCTTGGTGTAGGCTACCCACTCTCTGAGGTGGTCTAAAATGATGGGGAAGAGGCTCACCACACCTCCGTAACGGTTCTGGGCTTCGGTGTAGCTCAGGCGCTGCACAACACTGTGGGGGTATCTGTGGGACAGAGGGCAACAGTTGGCAGAGGAGTCCCAACAGGGCAGCCCTGGGAGTCCACAGGGTCACCCTGAGACCCCCTGGGAAGAGCAGGATTGCACAGCCAGACACTTGCCAGAAACAGAAAGGCATGGATAGAATTGCATGGTGAGAAATGAGCCCTGCCAAACACATCCCCCTGGGATAGGTCTGGAACACTCTGAGAGCCTGTGCAGGCACTGCCCCACAGAAATGGACTCTGTGCAGAGGAGGAGTAGGAGGAAGGAGGGGGTTACCTGCCTGAGCACTGTGTGGCACTTCAGGGCACTGACTTCAGGCCTGTGCATGCTCTGCCATTCACTGGTAAAAAGGATGAATGAAAACCAATCCCCTTGTCGTTATGGAGTCTGGCAATGTTTTCCCAACAGCTGCAACAGCAACCTGGGTAGCACCTTGTCCCCTCACTAAATCCACAAAGGTGTGTCAGAACTGGTGGAGAAGCCAAGTGGGAATGTGCAGTACCAGTCCCCCAGCACTGAGAGTTGCCCCCAGGAGCTGAGCAGAGGAGACACCTACGTGGCTCGGATGGCACTGAAGTCGTTGTTGTCATCCAGGAGCAGTTTGCACCTCTCCAAAATGCCATTGGACACACTGTCCCCGGGGTGAACAGTTTCCAGACTGCGGCAGAGCTTCTGGAGGTCGTTGCAGATGCGCAGGAACAAGCTGAGCATTCGCCTGTCCGTGGAGTTGTTGCAGTGATGGTCCATGTAGGTCTGTACCTGTCCACGGGGAAAACAGAGGTAAATTGTATGTGAAATTACATTTACCTTATGCTGTAAAGCTGCTCAAGTTACTGATGAGAAGCTGCTTTCTCTTGTGACTACAGTGTGAGCCACTATAGGATGATTTTCCCTGTGAGGGTGGTGAGACACTGGCACAGGTTGCCCAGGGAGGCTGTGGCTGCCCCAACCCTGGCAGTGTTCAAAGTCAGGTTGTCTAAAGCCTTGAGCAACCTGCTCTGGTGAGAGGTGTCTCTGTCCTGTCTTCTGCATACAGAAGAGCCACACAATGTGCTCAGCCACATTCTCAGCAGGTTTGTAAGGGAAACAAAAAATGGCCCCCAAGGGTCTATTTCTCCTACAGATTCCTCCTTCCACACTGTTTGCTGAGTGCTGTGTCCCTGTGAGTGGCAGATGTTTTATGGCTGCTGTGAGAAGAAATAGCCCTAAAGAGAAAAGCATTTTAGCCTGGATGTTCACTGATGGGATAACCGGACTTCTTGTTGTCCACATCAACACAGAGAGTTGATGCACCCAAGGAACCAACATGGGCACCAGGACTACAGGAAGAACCTGCACAGGTTGCCCAGCTCTGCAGCAGCCACTGCTGAGGCTGTGGCCACAGCCAAGCTCTGCAGTGCAGGGACTCTCTGCAGGGTTTGAGGCTCTGGCTGAAGGAGACTGAGGAGTTAGTCTCATCAAATCTCTTGGGATTTGACTTTATACCCTACTGCATCTAGAAATCTTCAAGGAGCTGTTGCCATTGCCTGTGGTGTGCATTTCTACCTTTTCACCTTACTATTATCTCCTCTTTTCTCTGAGAAATGATACCACACTGGAAACACTACCCTATACAGCATCAGGGGGTTGGAAACATGGCCATGGCCAATGCAATAGCCTTTTGTTTTGCTGTAGTGTCTCTGTTTCCAGCCAGGAAAGCTGTCAGTCAAGTCAGCTGTAGGCTGTGACCAGACAGATTTCTGTGTTTGTTGCTTTAATTTCCATTTTCCTTCCCATGGAAAATTAAACCCAGGGAGAATGACAGCAAGATAAAATGGATTCCTGCTTTTAGCACCAGTGAGTTTCTTCGGTAGGAATTTGGTTCCTGCACATCACCAGTAAGTGCTGCAACAATTGCTCCCTGTTCTTCCCAGTGATTTGCTCTTTTCCTTCTCCCATCCTCCCCTGGGAAAGTGGGATGTACCCTCAGGGGTGCAGTTTGCCACCACTCAGTTCCTGTGTCACAGAGAATGCCATGGCTGGATGCAATTGCATCACCCACGAGGTTTCACCCCACCACAAACAGCCCTTCCACCTCTGCCAAGCCAAGAAGAGGAATCCAAGCTTGCTCAGGACCACTGGAATACTGGCACTTTTAATAACAGCATGATGTTAAACAACATCTCAATGCCTATTTGGGGGAAAAATTGGCTCAGTGTAATGTCTGTCACAATCCTCTTCAATGCAATGAGCAAAGCCTTTATACTGGAACAGTCAGCCCTTGGAAAAGACAACCAGCTCATTCTGGGTCTTAATAACAGCCTAGTTCCACTCTGGCTTTGCCATCCATCGGGGTTTTGTGCCTTGGTTTTGCTGTCTCAAACCTACAGTTCTGATTCTATTTAGGTTTTTCTTCCCCTCTCTGTCTCCAGGTGGTCCAAGTTCTACTTAAAACATCCCCTGTTATAAAAATTCCAAGGCAATTCACTTGCCAGCTCAGAAAACCCCTTGCCCACTTGGGACTTTCAGCCCTCAATCCATCATCCTCCCTGTGTAACACAGCCATTATTTTTAATAAGCACTATAGAAAGATACAGCAGCACCAATACCAGGGGGAAGAGCCAAGCAAGCTGCTTCCTACAAGTTCAGGATTACAGATTCCATGTGTGGCTGGGGAAGGAGGATTGGTTTGATTGTTTCCTTGTCCCCTGTACTTCTGGCTGTGCCTCAGCAGAGAAATGACAGCAAGGAGGTAACTCAGAAAGTGATGCTCAGCAGTAAGATTCCTCTCTGTTAATGCCAAACCCTCACACGGGTATTTCTCTGCCCAGTTTAATCTTGTGCTACAGGTTTGCAGAGTTATACATGATATATACCGGAGTTTTTGTTCATCTTGGCACAATGGGTATAAATTGAAAGGGGGAATTGAGGTTAGATATAAGGAAGAAGGTTTTTTTCCCTGTGAGGGTGGTGAGACATTGGCACAGGTTGCCCAGGGAGGCTGTGGTTGCCCCAACCCTGGCAGTGTTTCATTCCAGGTTGGCTAAAGCCTTGAGCAACCTGCTCTGGTGGGAGGTGTCCCTGCCCAGGGACTGGATGATCTCTAAACTCCATTCCAACCCCTAAAATTCTATGGTTCTATGCTCTTCCCTTAGGAAAAACACCTATTCATCCCTGAATTATACCCAGGTGCTTGTTGTCTCTGTTGTCCTGGGCACAGAGCTTTGTGGTGGTGCTTTGTACCTGGGTGATGGTGGCCACAGGTCTCCACAAGTCACGAGCATTGTCTCGGGTGTGTTCCAGTGCTCTGATAAATGTGAACTGCTGCTGCTGGAACAGCTTGTAGTTCTGCTCTATGCTTCTGAGAGTCTCTGTTACCTTGTCCATGTTTACCTAGGGCTGGATTTGGGGAGAAAAGCGGAGAAAGGAAGCTGCTCTTTAGAAATGATGTAGTTCTGCGTGTGTGTAACTTGCTCACCTGAGCTGGAATTGTGTAGCTTAGCGGAAAAACTTTCAAAAAGAAGAGAAAAAAGAAAAGAAGATATATTGTGTCAAAGCTCTACAGTCCCAGAGCCCCAAACAGTAAGTCAATGAGTTAGTAATGATGCTGCCAAAAGAGGCAGAGAACCCAGAGGGGAGCACTGACAATCAGATGCCATAAACCCTAGTGGGTCTGTTGTAAAGATAACGTGGCAATGCATCAACTGCGCGGGGCCGGGGGGACACAGGGCTGCTCTTACGGCTGTAAAACCACTGCAAATTACGGCTGTAAAACCACTGCAAACCCCTCCGGCGAGCTGCAGCCGCGCAGGGCCAGGCCAGGGCGGGCAGTGCTTAACCCCCAGCCCTGGGGGGGCTCTGAGGGGGATGACTTCGACCTTTTGCCCTCGGCCAAGCCTCGCCTGCAGCCCCATCCCTTGCCGTGGTACCTGCTGTTGGCCATCCCCTGCCGAGCCCTGCGGCTGCCTACCAGGTGTTATGCGAGCGGGGACGCTGCAGCTGCACCGGGTGCACGCGGTGTTGGGGCCGCTCACGGTGTTGATGCCGCTCTGGGTGTTGATGCTCTCAGGGTGTTGATGCTGTTCGCATGTTTGGTTTTTGATTTGATACACACACAACCTGGTCATGGTTATCAGTTCTCTAATACATATATAAATGAACAGATTTACGATGGTTTATAGTTACACCTTTAACAAGAGCAATAATTAATGCAGATTTATATTATACAGCAGTTCTTGACAGAATTGCCTGTTCTAAACATTAATGCAGCTTTCCATACAGCAGCACTGCAGTGTGGATGCTGTTCACGGTGTTGATGCCGCTTGGGGTGTCGAAGCCGTTCGGGGTGTCAAAGCCGTTTGGGGTGTCGAAGCCGTTCGGGGTGTCAA